TCGAGACTCAGATTCAACAGATTGGCGATCATTTGCACGCCATGGATGCACAGATGAAGACGACGGGTGAGCAGTTTCGCGCGCACGCCGGACAGCTCCAAGACTTGTCCACGAAGGCCGATGGTCATTCGTTGCAGATGGCTACGCTTAACACTCGGATTGATGGATTGGACGGCCGCTTCGACGAAGTCCTTCGTCGTCTTGCGGAATTAGGTCAACAACGGCCACCGGTAGTCGTTGCCGAGGCGGATGCTCTGCTGGTGGCTCGGAATGACGACCGCGACATCTTACCTCAGCCTGTTCTACCTCAGGTGCGTCGACCAGTGGAGCAAGACGCAGGGATACAACGAGCTCAGGCGCAAGTGCGTCGCGTTGCCGATCAATTTCCACATGTACAACAGCGTGTTCCTCCGCATCATTTCGGTAAGAATCCATTTCCCTTACCGCGTCTGGATTTTCCGTCCTTCAATGCTGATAATCCTCGAAGACGGGCCGTGTAGAGTTGGTATGGGAGGAGTTTGTGCCTGCTCTGTGCAATAGGTTTAGTGACTGGTCTTTGGGAGGCATTGTTGGCGAGTTCAATAAGCTTCGTCAACATGATTCTTTACTTGATTATCAGGAACGATTTGAGGAACTCAAGTCTTAGATGATTCGCTACAATCCAGCCTTGATAGAAGAATACTTCATTTCGAGCTACATTAGTGGTTTGGAGGAAGAGTTGCGTCCTGTGATGTCCATGTGGCAGCCTAGGTCTTTGGCTCATGCTTTTTAGCTCTCTCGTTTGGAGGAGGTTTCTAATGAAGCTCGTAGAAAGAAGCTCAGGAGGCCTCTACCTCGTCCCACTGGTGGTTTCACACTAGGAGCTTCTTCCTCAAGTAACAATGGTCGTAAGTGGAGCCAACCAAACCTACTCCCGCCAAGGCCACTCCACCTGCTAATGGTAATGGTAATAAGAATACGATGACAAAGGGTGCTTGCTACAAATGTGGAGATCGTTATTTCTATGGCCATGTCTGTGAGGCCAAGCGTCAATTGAACGCTCTTTAGGCTGCAGAAGGTGATATTGTGGAACCGGAGCCTTGGAGTGATGAGTATGATAGTATCTTTGAAGATACTGTAGAACACCCTGACCAGCAGGAGGAAGGGTTAATTGAAGTTACTATGCAAGCCCTCAGCAGTGGCGTCACAGCTCAGTCTTTGGTCATCAAAGGGAAAGTAAATAAGGGATCCTTGATGGTTTTGATTGACACTGGAAGCACCCACACCTTCCTCAATGCTCAGAAGGCAGCAGAGTTAGGCTGTGAGTTATAGGAAGCTACTCCATTGTGGGTTAAACTGGCAGATGGAATTGTGTTGATGAGTACTTTAGTCTGCAGGGACAATGCAGGAGTTTCAATTCCAATTTGATGTTCGAATTTTGCAGTTGGGATCTAATGATTTGGTGCTGGGATTGGACTGGTTGCGCACAATCAGCCCAGTAAAGTTTGATTTTGTGAATTTGCAATTGATCTTTGAAATGGATGGGGGTGAGGTTGAATTATATGAGGTTCAGGAGACTGAAAACTGCAAGTCCATGTCGGGTAAGAGTGTGCAGAGGTATTTCAAGAAGAAGGGCGCCACCTGGACTGGCCACATCTTTTCCATGACCACTGCCACACCTTCAAGTACTACCCCAGTACCCCACCCTCTTTTGTGCAACCTATTATGGATGAATACAAGGATTTCTTTGGTAAACCTACCTCTCTTCCCCCTACCCGTGATTGTGACCATACTATCCCTTTACAACCTGGATCCTCCCCTGTGAACCTCAGACCATACCGTTACCCTTTTCTTCAGAAAGTAGAAGTAGAAAAACTATGCAATGAAATGGTGACAGCAGACTTCATCCAACCTAGCCAAAGCCCATTTGCTTCCCCTGTTCTCTTAGTGCTTAAAAAAGATGGAACATGACGCTTTTGTATTGACTACCTCCAGCTCAACTCTATTACCATTAAGAACAAATTCCCCATACCCGTTATTGATGACTTGTTAGATGAGTTAGGAGGAGCCAAATATTTCACCAAGCTAGACCTCCTTTCTGGCTATCATCAGGTCAGAATGCACCCAACCGACCAATACAAGACCGCCTTTCGTAACCACCATGGCCATTTTGAGTTCAAAGTCATGTCCTTTGGGCTGACTAACGCCTGTGCCACTTTCCAAGCCCTTATGAACCAGATTTTTGGCCCTTACCTTCGCAAATTTATCCTCTTATTCTTTGACGACATCCTAGTCTACAGCCCTGATCAAACTTCCCACTGTCAACACCAATCCCAAATCCTTCAAATCCTTCACCAACATTCCTTATTTGCTAAACCATCCAAGTGTTCTTTTGCTCAAAAAGAGGTGGATTATTTGGGTCACATCATTAATGAGCAAGGTGTGGCTACTGATCCGAGTAAAGTGGAGGTCATGGTCAAGTGTCCTGTTTCTAAGAATGTCAAAGAACTGCGTGGTTTCCTCGGCCTAACTACTATTACAGAAAATTTGTGAAAAACTATGGAGCAATCAGCAGGCCCCTCACTGAATTGCTTAAGAAGGATGGATTTCTTTGGTATGCTACTGCTGATAGAGCTTTTAACATGCTCAAAACTGCTATGGTTCAAGCTCCTGTGCTCACTTTACCAGATTTTCCCTTCCATTTCAACTGGAAACGGATTCCAGCGATGTGGGAATTGGTGCAGTCTTGTCTCAGGGTGGAAGACCTATTGCTTACCATAGTCAAGCATTGGGAATCAGACAGCAAGGGTTATCAGCCTATGAGAAAGAATATTTGGCAGTGTTGTTGGTTGTTACTAAGTGGCATCACTACTTGGAAGGTAGAACTTTTACCATTCTTACTGACCATGAGAGTCTTAAACACCTTCTTGGTCAGAAAATACACACTCACATTCAGAAGAAGGGTCTTGTTAAGCTGCTGGGATTGGATTTTGATATCAAATGCAAGCAAGGCAGATTCAATAGGGTGGCTGATGCCTTGTCGAGGCATCCTCAGTTTCAAGGTGTAGGGGAAGCCAAGGCTGAGTGTCAAGCCATCTCTGCTGTACTGCCAGCTTGGTTGAGTGAATTGGAGCTGACTTATGTGGGTGATACGGATGTTCAGTCCTTGATGATGGAAGCCACAATTCCTTTTGTTGGCCCTCGGATTAATTCAGTGAAGCAGGGATTACTCTATCACAAGGACACTCTTTTTGTTGGTTCTGTGGGAGATATGCGCTTGAAGTTGTTGAAGTTGTTCCACGATTCCCCAATTGGTGGTCATTTAGGGGTGCAGGCAACTTACTTAAGACTGAAGAGGTATTTCTGGTGGCCTAGACTTAAAATACAGGTTAAGGAGTTCGTGAGAGTGCGTGATGTGTGTCAAAGATGCAAGTCTAAGAATGTTCCCTATCCTGGCTTATTACAACCTCTGCCAATTCCAGAGAGAGCTTGGCAACATGTTTCAATGGATTTTGTTGATGGATTGCCTAAGTCTGCAGGAAAAGAAGTGGTGTTTGTGGTGGTGGATAGATTTTCAAAGTATGGACATTTTTTCGGTCTGAGAAGACCCTATACAGCCAGCAGTGTAGCTCAAGTATTCTTCGAGGGTATCTTTAAACTTCACGGAATGCCCCAGACAATCGTGTCAGACCGAGATGCTGTGTTTACCAGCTCTTTCTGGACCAAACTATTTGAATTACAAGGGGTGGATCTTCACTATTCAATAACTTATCACCCCCAGACAGATGGCCAAACAGAGAGTCTAAATCGTTGCTTGGAAGATTATTTGAGGAGCATGGTACATCATTCTCCGCAGCATTGGAGTTCTTGGCTACCTCTTGCCGAGTGGTGGTATAATACTAACTACCATAGTAGCCTGCAGGTGACACCATTTGAGCCGCTCTACGGCTATCATCCTTCCCATTTTGAAGTCAGAAACCCACTCTCCACCTCAGTAGCAACAGTTGCAGAGAAGCTTCAGCAGCAGCATAATTTAATCAAGGTTATCAGAGAGAATCTTGCTATGGCACAGAACAGGCATAAGCAAATGGCTGACCGTCATAGAACTGAGAGAGTCTTTGCAGTGGGGGACATGATGTATTTGAAGCTTAGACCCTATAGACAAGTAACAGTGGCCACAAGGACTGCGCAGAAGCTGGCTGCAAAGTATTATGGACCCTTCCTCATTCTCAAGAAGGTTGGCGCAGTGGCTTATAGACTGCAGGTGCCCCTGAACTCCTCAATCCACCCTGTATTCCATGTTTCCCTTCTCAAGAAAGCAGCAGGAGCTCAGGTCCTTGTCCAACCTGCTTTGCCAGATTATGACAATCAAGGTAATATGAAAGTGGAGCCTATGGAGATCCTGGCCAGAAAAATGGTGGCTCGAGACAACAAAGCAGCTACGCAAGTACTCGTCCAATGGTCTCATCAGGATGTTGTAGATGCTACTTGGGAGTTTCTTGATGAGTTTAAAATTAAGTATCCAAAATTCAAGACTTGAGGACAAGTCTTCAGTGAAGGAGGGAGTCTTGTAACAGATTGGACTGGAATGTAATAAAATAGAAGAATAAGGATGCGAGAGTGAAGATGGAGTGCAGGTGTAATGGTGCAAAACGGGTCGTATAAATAGAGTCTGGCCCACTTGTAACAATTATCTTTGGATTAATAAATTCTCTCCCCTTTCCTTTCTCTATCTCTCTCTTCTCTATCTGTGATATTTTTCCCTCTAGATTAACATCTCTTAACTCTCCACTGGAAAGAAGATCGCCATTGTTATCTCGTCGAGTGCTTGAGACTTTTCACCCGAGCTGTGACAATAGCTGGATTTAGGAAGACCAATTGGCGTTGGGTTTGAGCGGTCGGGTAGAAGGAGAGATCGCATCCGGAAGAAGAAAGAGAGAAGGATCGTGAAATAGGAAAGATATGTTAGATCAATTTGTACCACGGTTCCAAAGTACCGATAGAGAAGCATGAACATATTTCTATTGTACCCCGCCGCTCCTTATCTTGATCTCAATAAGTTCTTCGATCGGTTGTCGGCATATGGGCCACTTGTTTGTTTGCATCCTCAATTCCTTTGCACACTCACTACACATACACTAATAAAGATGCAGACTTTATGACATCAGACCAAGCTCCAGAGAACAGCAAACAGTTATGCCTTTGTAATTTCATCATCACGTCTTAATAGATGGGAAAAAGGAAGATATCAAGCACTCAACATATGTCGACATGGCAAGATGACAATATTCTTGGGTTCGGTCATGCAAATCACACATTCTTTCTTGGGTTCACTGTCATTGAAATCTTTAGCTGCAGAACCACTACCCAAGCCATAAATCTCACGAAGCTCATATCGAACTCCCTCAATCCACAATATATGCTTTAATACTTTTACGTGGAAAGGTTCTCCATCTTTCTTCTTCTCTAGAACAGCTTGAGTGATCTGCATATTACCCGAGCTCGGTACATAATCATTGAGTTGACTTTGATCGGTTGTTGAACTAAGTGGTGGGGATGTTTCAGCGACTATAACCAATGGAAAAACATCTTCTTCGAACGAGGGCTTTGAGAGGTCATCCAGCTCAAATAAACCCAAGCTAATGCCTGTCCCTGATGGTTGGCAAAACTTATGTGCAACACCTTTCTGGAAGGGGACCCGGACTGGGAGATGAGTGTCGAGATATGCTGGAGAAAACTTACAGTTGGGCTCTTCTTTAGCAAAGTAGGAAACGGTAATGTTGTCACATAGACACAAACAATGCAGTCAAAATCGCGCTTTAAAACTTAAAAACTTACGATTTTACGCTTTTGGGTCACCAAAACGCTTTCGTTTCCATATAAAAACTTAAGTGTATAAAATCGGACTAAAATGCGCTTTAAAGCTTAAAAACTTACGGTTTTACGGTTCTAGTTCATCAAAACGTTTTACGTTTTTACGCTTTTAGTTTACTAAATGAGTATTCTTTTCATGAAATTAATTATAAAAAGTATATTTTAAAAGTAAATCACTAACAATATGATACATTTGAGATTAAAAGATACATACTAGGTACTTGGATGCATTCTCAACTTCAATAGAGTAATATAATTCACCAGCTAGACTTTTCCCAAATTCATTAGCATAGAGGGAAAAGGGGCTTATCGTTAAAATTTATGTTTACGAACTTATTATTAAGATGCTATAAGTTGCTCTACTTTAAGCATGAATCGCATGTATTTATTAACTTATCTAAATTATGTGCATTCATATTTTGCATAGCATATGTCCTATTTAATAGATTTTTAGTTATTTTTCAGTATGCGTCAAAAACTTACGCTTTTACGCTTTGATTCTACGCTTTACGATTTTACCCCTTTTCCGCTTCTAACTAGAATCGCGCTTTTGACTGCATTGGACACAAACCATATGGCATTAGAGACACAAAGAAACACTGAATAAATATTTACAGAGGGTTCAAGGTTTGAAGAAGCAGAAGAAGACAGAACTCGAGACAGATAACTGGAGCAGTAAGAATGACATGCAATATATTGAGCATAAATATGCCAGTAGGTAAAATATCTGAATTAGATGAAAGTATCCTGAACTTACTAGTCCATCACAAACCTCCCGCATCTAGACTCCAGAGAGATGGCACTTAGAAACTAAGTTTAATTTGACTGTTCCAGACCATAGTACAAAAACTGACTTCAACCGAGAATATATTGTTTTGCTTTTCTATAGATTCTTGGTTGAAGTAAGTTCTTGAACTGTGTGACTTCTTTGCTCGCCTTTAAGAAAACAATATCATTGCTGTATCAGGGCTTCACTGTTTTCGAGTCCTCTTGATATATCATTTATTCTTGATACTGTCTAAGCTGCCTTAAGAAAACAATATCATTGCTGCTCAATCTTTACTGCTCGTAGGTTTTGCATGCAAAACTCCACAGGCACCACTAGTATCTTAAGCATGATGCTACAGAGAATCTTTATATCTTATTACTGAATCCTTGATTTTTATTGGTACCGACAACACAATTCCACAACTACTACTTGTAGTGCAATAACCTTCATAAAATTCATGTCTTTACAAAATTAACGAAGGCGAACAATCATCCAAAATTTCAAGAGAGTTGACACTGGCTTGATGGAACATGATCCTACAAAGTCATCTCAAGGTTCTACTATTAAATTCTCATTTCGTTCAATGTAGCTAATGCCTATGTATTGAATTCAACACACATAGGTTTCCAACACACCTTCATCTGGAAAGAATCGACCATTCATATTACCCTCCCCCCTGTTCAAATTTCAGCAAGTCTAGCTCTACATTCGCTTAATGCTTAGAGTGCTAACATAAAACCTAACCTCAGCGGCTGCCAGCATGAACTAAATCAGTATACGAATGCATATGATAAGTAAAACAACCTCCGTTACCACACTTACTAAGCGAAAAGGGAAACGAGGTTCACAAATGATCCAGTGACATAGCTCTAACACATTTCCAATTGGGGCAATTGCATTTTCAGTTCTAAGCAGCAAATGAATCAATAGTAAGGCAACATTCTCCACCAAAACCAACGTCTACAAATAAACTCGCACAATAGAAAACAAGGGGCTGAAAGAAACATTCGCTTACCTTCCATAAACAAGTGCATAAAAAACGAAAGAAATCAAGTGATGATCCGGGTTCTGCTCATCCAATTCAAGCCTCAAAGTCCCCTTATGCACATTAACCTCATTCCTAACCTTCTTAGCATTCTGATGCTCAACATAAGGCACCGGCTGAATCTGGTGCGAAGGACCCACGTTAGGTCTCACCGCATGGGGTTGCTGCGGCGGCGGCCATCCTCCAGCTGAATTGCCATAATAGTAGGGCTGGTAATTATACCTACCCACCATGTGATTCGAATAACCGCAGGAATTGTAAGGGTTGGAGGTGTAGTAGGACTGGATCGGCAGCGTTGGCGGCGGATGAAGAGGGGGAGCTGGAGATGGCGCGTAAGAGGATTGTGGAGTGGCCGTGGAAGCTGCCGCTGTGGTGGTTGTGCTCCCTGCAGAGGAGGTGGAGTAGTAGCCTTGATGCGGCGGCGGAGGGGGAGGTGGTTCTGCGGAGGGGAAGTGTTGAGGCGGCGGCGGGAGGTGATGCGGGTGATGTTGGTAGTAAGTTTGGTGGTGGTTGTGCCTTCTTCTGCTGTTGCTACATGAAATTCCCATCTTAATGGATTCACAGCAGAAGACGAAGAAGAAAGGAAGAGTGATCAGAAGAAGAAGATTTGAGATTTGTACGGATGGATTGGGGGAGCTGTGGGGACAGTGTTTGTCTGACAGAGGGGTCAGGGTAGGGCAGTTTGCGACTTTGTGTGAAGTTGAAAAAATGCAATGACCCCTTTTTTTCCTTTTTTTTTGACTGTCTAGGAATTGACTTTGACCTTTCCGGCTTGGAATTTGTGAGTTTTTAGGTGTGTCTCGAGGAAGAAATGAAACAAACTGAATCCAAACACGCGTAAAACGTCCTAGAACAATTGGTTGAAAATTACGTCATAGAAGAAGAGCAAAGCAACGAGTGAGATCAACTACCCACATGATTTCAACACTTAATCCAAAAGCAGAACATCCAAAATCTCTCTTGCATCCAAATCAACCATAGTAGCAATAAGATAAAAATTAGCTCGTCAAAGCACAACGAAGTCCATGGTGATTGAGCATAACAATGCCATATGTTGCCTCCTGAGGACTACTCGAAGAGATCCAGCAGAGTGAATCTCATAAACGAGATTACATCAATGTGGACAAGGTTGTGAAACGGATTGCTCCGAGTTGAAGGGGCAAAGGGAGCCGATATAGAGCCGCACCCAACTGAAGAAGGCCCTACCCTACATGATTCGATGATAGACCAAGTAGTAGACAAATGGCCAGTGAATGTCGGAGGGGGAAAGTAGAGAATGAGTTCACCAAAAGTCGATGAAAGTATGAAACCATCAAACCTGGGAAGACAACCGCCCCATCTATTAAATGAGATTCCCAAACAACATCAGCTCAACTGGAGGTGAAATTGAAAGCTGATTTGAGAGGAAAAACCAGACAAAAAATTATAAGTGGAGAACATCTAGCACAAAGGCAAGACGTAGGCGAACGAAGGAAATTAAAAAAAATGAATATTTGGGTTACCGTCGGTCACCAGGAGCAGGAGGTGCTAGAGGCCGCCCCTGAAAGAAAGAAAGAAGAAGTCAAGTAGAGAGAAGGGATAACAAAATTTGAATTCAAATAAGATAGATAAAGAACAACTTAATCTTCATTTAGCTCCGGTGAGAAGATTTATTTGCCACCATGTATTTATTTACTTTGTTAAACATAATTTAGACATGAACTTCATATGACAAATTATAGAAAATCCACTAATATCATCATAATAATAGAAAATTCTAGTTATTAGTGTCAACATTTATATTTTAATCAAGCAGTTGTTACTATCACAACGAAGTTTCGCTAACGATGTCATCATTACTTGTTTCTATCAATCGCTCCGGTGAGAAGATTTATTTGCCACCATGTATTTATTTACTTTGTTAAACATATTTAGACATGAATTTCATATGACAAATTATAGAAAATCCACTAATATCATCATAATAATAGAAAATTCTAGTTATTAGTGTCAACATTTATATTTTAATCAAGCAGTTGTTACTATCACAACGAAGTTTCGCTAACGATGTCATCATTACTTGTTTCTATCAATTAGGGATGACAATCAAACCCATGGCCGCGGGTACCCGACCGCCCTCGACCTAGTCAACGCGGGGAATACCCGCTTTGACCGGGTATGGGGCGGGTATGGGTAAAATCCGCAAAAAGTTTGATGGGTATGGGGCGGGTATGGTTTTAGCCTCCCCCGCCCCATACCCATACCCATACCCGCCCCACCAAGAGGATTTCTACACATATAAAAAAATATGTGGATCAAATTGTAATCTATCAATGAAGATGAGGATAACTCGAGAAATCAAATAATAGAAATGCAATTGAGTGACCACCCTATTCAAAACATAATTCATTTCCCTCAATTCTCTTTCACTTTCACCCTTGTCAACCAGATTATGTTAGTTAATTATTACTTAGTAGATGTATCAAAATTAGAGCATAATAATTGTACTCTATATTATGTATTAATGGATGTTTTAGCCTTTTAGGATCATATTCTTTGAATCGTATTAAGAAAATGACCGTGTTTTGTTGACTTCGTGATATAATAGGTTTGTTTAGAGGTATAATTAAACATTTTCTTGTAAGTTTTAGGTATAATAATATTGGATGTACGGGGACGGGTATTATCCATGGGTACCCGAAACCCACGGGTATGGGGATGGGTTTGCAAAATGTTCCCCGCATGGGTATGGGTTTGGGTATTCGAAAATGGGGATGGGGATGGTTTAGGCAAACCCGCCCCATTGCCATCCCTACTATCAATCATATACAAATGACCAGAAAATGTTAAAAAAATGTTATTTGCATTCCGTTGCCGGGACTTGAACCCAGGTCTTTCGGGTGAGAGCCGAATATCCTGACCAACTAGACTACAACGGATTTTGTGTTCAGTTGTTGCCAAAACCAGTTTGAAAAACAAAATGACTTGCTGCTCCTCTTCTAACCTTGCCAGACTTCGACCTCCAAAGGAATCAACCGCTATCAAGCAAATTGAAAACTGGATTCATCAATCTCAGTTCTTCACAGAAACACACAGAGATCGTTTTCTCCTTAACTCACAACTAAAAATAACAAGACAGGAACCACAAGAAAGAAAGAAACATCATTACTAGTCTACCACTACAACAACAAGAACAATCAGAAAGAAAAAAAAAAAAAAATTACACAGACAAGTTCCCAATCACATATCCGATCATTCGTTATCAGCAGAAATCCGGCCTAGGCTTCTTCCTAACAGCAATGCACCCACGCTGATCATCCCTAAGAACCCTAATCTCACAACACTCCCTCAAATCCTCCAAGCTCAAGTACTGCTGCTTCACCATCCTCGTGAAATCCCCACCTGTGTCATGAACCCATATGTATGGCTGGCACGTCTCATCATAGTAATACAGCAGGTTCCTCGTCCCTCCGCCACCACTGTCACCTCCTCCGCCGCCACCACGACCACCTCTGCCACCGCCACCTGGCATGTAGGCCTTGTAGATGCTCTTGCACTTGAGTCTCTTTGAAGACCCTGGCTTCAAAGTGTGAACCTTTTTCAGGATCGACCCGACTCGAACCTGAAGCTCGATGGGCCGGTCACTCAGGTTCCAGATTCTGGTCCCGAAACCCGAGCCTTGTGTGTGATCCCTGCACCCATCGAACAGGCAGCCTCGCAGCAGGGGAAATATGCAGAGTGCCTTGAGGGAGAGCATGTGTTTTGGGGCTCTCAGCTTTGGAGGAAAATGCATCTTTTTTTGGTCTATGTTTCAGCAAATGATGGTTTGGGTTTGGGGTGTGTGGATATATGGTTAGTGGGTTTTGAAAAAGTTTGGAGCTTTGGCTAGTTTTCATAGTTGGGAGGTCATGTAGTAGAGTAGGCCAAGCTGTTGTTCCTGATTTGTGGTAAGGAGGAAAATGGTGGGAGGCAAGGGGAATAATGAGGTGGAAGGTGGAACATTGAAATGGAAGAGTGCCCTTGAATTTGTAGGACCCTTCATGAGTTCAGGACAAGAGGTAGACATAAAACAGATTTGGTGGTAAATGGGGGGAAAGAAGGGAGGAGCTTTGCCAATTTGCTAGGTTTCTGCATTTTTTTCCATCTTGTTTATGGTTTAGAAAGTGAAAGGAGCACCAAAATGAGTCATGTTCATTATGAAGTTAGAAATGATTCTGCCTTCACCTTTCATCATTGGCTGTTTTAACTTTTTGATCCCCTCCTCTACAAGTCTCCAACCACACGCCTTTCCTCCTCAACCCGACCCACTACTACTCCAATGTTTGTTCTAAAATCTAAAGTTTAAATGTTTTATGGGTGTTGGCCTGATTGTTTGTTTCCACCGATTTCTTCTTTATAGAACTAACTCATTCATTTTCGATAACTTGTTATTCAATGAATTGAATGCCAATGTTGGATCTTTCGGCTATGCATTTGTAAATGTAGAAAGCTAGGTATGAGCGTATTAATGATTTGTATTTGTTAATTACGTTTCAACTTCTTGTTGAATGAGATTCTCAAAAAGTTATCCAGTAACTCGTTATTCGGTTCACTTCAAATTCAACGAGTGGTATCATATTGTTACAAATTGCTTCACTTGGCTTGGAATTATGAATCTTTCTTGATTCTAGATTTACCTGTAGGTTTATGTTTCTTTTTCTCTTACCACCTTTTACGTTTTCTTGTCTGGATTTCCGACGGTGACTATAACCGCCTTTGTCGTGTGACCTTTAGTATGGTCTCCACTAGAGTAACATTGGAGAAAAAGAATGTGTCTATAGCAAGCATGAAATAAAATCATACTGATCCTTAAATGTCTTTTTAAATACTCCTCAATGTCCCGATTATTCAAGAAAAGTGAGAAGTAGATAAATAATCAATCTCCTTTCGAAAGTAGTCGAAGAAGTTCTTGGCAACCAGTTGCTCTTCATCTATGCCTTTAATTTTCAATTTCTAGGTGGGATCAAATTACGACTTGTTAGGCCTACAAGCCCGTGGCTTCTTGTAGCTTCATGAGGGGTTGATAAATAATATGCAGGACAAGACAGCCCAAACGGCAATTCCCCCCCAAGTTGTTTGAATGAAAACAAGAGTCTAACCAATTATATGTATGGGCTTCCTTTCCAATTTTAGTTGTTTGATTGAAGAAGACAAGCGAGTGGCCAATTATGAAGGGTTATCACCACCAACGGGCAACACATTCATAGAAGAATTATGCAGGAGAACATGGGCTTCCTGCAAAGTTCCCATTCCATATCTAATCAACATTGGAAACCCACTGTATCTCACATGATTGCCAAGTTTCAAGACCACTTCACAACAAGAAGAAAAGTCTTCTACCAATCTTTGATTAATGTGCCCCACAACCTGCAAATGGAAGGTACAACATCTTCTGAATATCAATACATAATATAGTGCTTGTCTGACAAGTTAATTGGTTAGGTCAGTGGAAGGAGCCAAAGCTCTGTAACCCAGAAGATATTTCGCTGCTTCTATCTGCCGACACTAAGTTTCCAAGAGATCCATCTTTTTCCACCCAAAGTTGCACTGGCATTGTCCACATCAACGAACACACAGTGCTTTCAAAACTATGTTCATGGCTGGCATTTGAGAAGAGGCTGGATTTAGAGACACTATCAGGGGATTGAATGTCGATCAGGCACGACGTTCAGACTGTACAGAACCGGGTGAGCACCAAATTGCTTGACTATCAAACTGGAAGCAATTGGCTTTTGACATAGAGGGAAGGATTTACAAATACATCACTGGTTTCGTTTGTTCTCGATGTAATCTTCACTGTCTATCTTGATTAACAGAGGCTGGTTCAGATCACTTGAAGGATCTACCGACACTGGCAACTCCGGTGAGGCCAATGACCCATCTATTTCATCACATTCAGCCAAAGCTTTGTCCAGCGCGGACTTGGCGACTTTGGTTACCGTGAATATTAGAACCACTGCACACGGAAAAAAAAGTGGGATCAAGAGTTCATGCATGCAATTCCATTGTCGGAAAGTAAAAAAGCATGATTGCATGTCGTCGTAGTAGTAGCCTCTGGACTTACCGGAAACAACTAGGCTTACGACGATCATCACCTGCATACAAGAAGCCGAAGTGAATCATGTGTACTACTGAGAGAGACGATAATGGAAAGATAAAATAATAATAGCTATAAATCGTAGTAGAACCCACTAATTTCAGTTCAATCAACCCAGTTCCTAACACATTTGGTGATTTCACCAAGTTTCAGGCTAATGGAATTTGATTACCAAGCTTTTTTCATTCGTCCAAACATGAGCCACACTACACACATAAACCATGGAACTGGTATTGGATATATAATTTCATTTCCCAAGTTTTTAGGCTCTCAAAACAGGCAGATAAAAGTGCAATTGATAGCAAAAGATATAAGAATATCGAAGTGGTTTGCTTACCCAACGAGTTGGCGAGAACTCACTCCAACCATGCGTTACATCAGAAAGATCCTTGAGAGTTGTTCCAACGTAGACTAATGCAAGTGTTATTGGCTACAAACACATAAGAAGTTCAGTTGCAGCGCAAAGCGAACATGAAAGTTGTCCGATATATGTATATACTAATGCAGGCATTACTTACCATCATTCCTAACCAGGAAGCCAGCATGTACTCCATAAAAGAAACAGGAGTAACCGACAGCAGATAATTCAACATGTTAAAAGGGAGCAACGGAACTAGCCGAAGCAACAGAACAATCTGCAGCAGGGAAACAAATTCCATGGGTTTCACATAAAACAAGTTTGTAAGATGGAATCCTCATAGAAAGATTGGAAAAATAATCAAGAACCTTGAACCCAGATCTTTCAATAGCAATTGCAACTGATCTGAACTGTGGATAGTCCTTTAACTTGGCAACAACCATAGATCTACCAAGCTGCATAAGAAATAGAATGAAACAAATTATGTTCAGGCATTTGCACAAAATGTCAGACCCATAAGTTATATAAAAAAAACTGAAAATGGAGACAAATGACTACTCTGGAGTCTTGTCATATTTCTGTCTCAATCCTTTTATACAATGTATATACGATTAAATATTAATCAATACACCATGCAAAATCCTAAACCAATGGATGATGCTCATTTTGGGACATAAGAAGCACAGAACAATAGGACATTCAATACAACAGCAAACTACAAGGTTTCTGAGAACTTACAGTTCTTCCGAGAAGAAATGCAGCACACGCACCAATCGTAGCACCAATAGAATCGGCAACAAAGCCAATAGGCAAACCAAAAAGATATCCGCCACCAAGCTGAAAGATAAATGGGGAGTCAGTGGAGCTTCAGCAGTATAGTTAGTCCTTGACTCCGAATATCATATTGACTTTGGCAGTTGAAACTGGAGGTATCGGTAGTTTTTTTCCTCTTCCTGTAGCTAAGTTTGGATATACATGGGTAAGAGTGATATGGATGCTTACAGTGAGCACTGATGCAGGAACTGCCAAGATCGTCAAAGGTATATATGCCACAGCACTGAAAATAGAAGAAAACATCAGCTAACATGGAATGCTGTTATAACATACACCATTTATACCAAAACCAGCAGTCAGTTAACATGTAAAAGAGCCTGCAAGTATCTGAATCCTAAATTCCTTTCCCAAGATTATCAAAAATTAAAATTCCATTTCCAAGCATTTCAAACTAAAAAAGATGGGATCCACTTTCTAATAGTCTTCGACAGTAACGTCGCAAACAATTAAACTGCAACCGAAGAAACAAAACGAGTTAACCACTCCTAGTGCAAATGAGAAAGTAACTATCAAACTTAAGCGAACGGTCCGCATTATTCTCTCCAACAAAGAACAAAGAATGTGCCGACAGAAAAAGGGTTCTGCTGCCATGAGTTATCTGCATAATGGTGTACAAAGTGGATACAAGGATGATGATACCAAAGTTGTCATTTTAACCAACTAGAGACAAATAGGTGCATTTTCTCAACCAATTTAAACCAAGATATTGACCTGTAGTAATATTAATATAAGGAACACGGTAACTCCAACCATCAAGTGGGACAAATTTACTCCAATAATACAAAGGGAAGAATAAACCAATGTAGCATAAAACTAAACTGAAGGAAAGCAACAAATAAAGCATAAAGAAGATCAACTGACTTACAGCACAAGGGGACCCCAAGCCCCAAGATCATGCTCAACCCATGACAAGAAGTCCTTCAGTATCTGCAATGGAACAGTTCGTTTGGTCAGCGAAAACAGAATTGCAAGCTATCCAGTAAGACTCAATATATGCAAGTGCATAAGAAAGGGCGAGGTCAAAACTGTTCCTTCATTTACTCAATCCACTAGAAAAAGAATCCAAGATAGCAGAGCAATAGATTGAAGCTAAGAAAGCCTATGGTTTGAACAATGCATCATCTAACCCTTAGCAGCAACCACAAACACTGAATTAACATCAATTGCAGTATGAGCTAGTTTGTCTATACTCAGGATTAAACAGCAAAAACCTTAACTCCCTCAGCAATCAATCAGTAGATACCCAATTTATAAACCAGCCGAAAGAACAATACACAAACCCAGCTAACAAAGCAGCATTCCCTTCAAACCCTGAGACAAATCAGGGAAAGAAGGGGAAGGGGCCGGACCTTTTCAATAGGGAGAGTGAAGCAGGCAACAACCACAGCGGCGAGGAGAAGGAGGAGGACAGTGATCCTGAGAGCAGAGGCCCAGGAGTAGGAAGCCATGGAAGAAAAAGAGGCGAAGAAGAAGGATGAAAGCCTCCGACGCCAAGGCCGGGAGTGGTTGTTGTCGTCGCGATCGCCGGCGGATGCAGCAATGGGTTGCTTCAAAGGCAAGCGAGGGCGCAATTCCCCTAGATTTGCCAGGCTGAATATGCCCCGCCCTCGCTCCGGCAGATTGAAACAACCCCACCAACTCCCTCTCCCTCAAACGCCCAAGGGGGGGGGAAGAATGCAGCTGGGGAGAAAGCTTCGATCTTTATGTGGGGAATCCGAAGAAAAAATAATGGGAAATGGGGGAATTGGAGATTTCGATTTTTATTTAAACTTAATTCTGCTGAAACGAGAAAACTCCGTGTATCCGTCTGCGGTCAATCCAACCGTCGGGATAAATTTTGGTGGACAATTTGGGATTGGGAAGAATGGTTTGGATTGCGCTGAGCTTATTTATTTGAGGTGGGTTTGGATTGAGTCGGAGAAGTCAAGACTCAAGAGGGAGAAATAAAACCGAGGGCTGGAAGGAAAGCGAGTTATGGACTCTATTTTCACGCCGGTGATGTGATGGATTGGTCGGTATCAGCTCTCTCCTCCGCTTTGCTGGCGGTGACACCGTGGAATTCACAGATTGAGACGCGTCACGGCGGAGGTTGTTTCGAGTTGGATGTGAACAAAAAATTGAATTTCCGTTGCCGGGACTTGAACCCGGGTCTTTCGGGTGAGAGCCGAATATCCTGACCAACTAGACTACAACGGATCTTGTTGTCGAAGTTCCCCGTTTCCACATCATATCAATTGAAATGATATGAGATTTGCGCCTAGTACAAAATGAGCATATGGTTTATCGCCGAGACCCGGAATCGCACCCGTTGGTTTATCCCAGCAGCAGGTGTCGTCGCCGGGAGCCTGCAACCGGGAGAGGAAGGCCGAAGTGAAATTGGGCTGTTTCTTTCGTCCGTGGCGCCGGCCGCAGGGGCAGGGAGAGAATGGGGAATGGGGATTCATGGTCAGGTATAGCGGCAGCTTGAAACTCCAAGATTCCATGAAGCTGCTTACGGTAAAGCCGGCCCATGCACAGGGCTTACACGGAAAAGCCATGGTAACGGCGGGACCTTGGACGTCGGAGAGTTTGCTACTTTCTCCGGCATGTTTGCAGTCCAGAAGAACATAAAAGCAGCGAAAATCTAGGGGAACTGGGAAGAGGAGAAATTGTCTCGATGACAGAGACGAGCAGAGTCCGTGAAACAGATGAGGGAAACAAGTAATATACCTACTAATGCCATTCATTCATTCATCCGGAGCACAAAACCAAAGTTTCTACAAACATATATCTATCTACATATAAGTTATAACAACAAGATTGACATACCAATACCAGGCTATGCCTTAGATTTCTTTGAGTTTCTTATGCTGCTTTTTACACCTATATGATCGCACCACACAAAGCATTACTACCCTATAACATGACAGTTCATTCACATACAGTGGCTTCAAAGACCAAAGGACGCAAACAAAGATATCAACAGCATATACCTAATCAATAGAACTCTCTATCTGGGAAAAGCAACGGGGCTGCGAGAGTCCATAGGTAGAGCCCAGCAGTGACCCACTCGGTGAAGATCCGTACCCAGACGGATGTCCAACCGACATCGATGAGATCCGCACTCTCGGTTGAGCTGGTCCATCCAGAGAGCAGCATGGCTGAGTACATGCTAGCCAGTGCAAATATGAGGTGGAAGAATGAGTAGGAGTAACTAACAGGGCGGGACTCGGCTTTGTCTTTCGCCTTCCCCTTCCCTTCTTCCACATCGTCATCTCCTTCAAGCAAAGGTTTGCTTCTAGGTGAAGATGGTGGAGATGGGGACAAGAAGGTTGTTGAGGACCCAGCACGAAGAGCAGAATATAACACCGAAAGTACCGTCGTGAGCATTCCAAGCACAAGTGTTCCTATGGATACTGCCTTCGACTTGTTGAGTCCATTGCAAGCATAGTCATGGGGTTCGCTTGATAGACCCGTGTAGCAGACATAGGCACAGTAAATGGATATCACTGAAGCCGGCAAAAGGCTTCCATTCACCTGTCAAAAAACGATTGAAAATAGATATAACTTTCAGATTCATATTGAAATTACCCAATCAAGCGAGATTCGAGAACAGCTTTTGATCGAATATCGTTTTTTACCGCGGGATGAAGTGCAATCACAGCAAACGAGAATGCAAGAACCATGGTCATGATGATGAAGAAGACATTGAGGCCACAATCATTGCCGGAAGGATTGAACCATATGAATAGAATCCCAGATATCCCAAAAGCCCCGAGGTAGCATCCAACCGATATAACAAGTAAAGCCACATACCTAGGAACACAAAATTTCCAACATTATAGGTTCAAACAAAGCAAAGATCAAAGGAGGGAGCCAATTAGACATAGGAACATTGGGGTCTTACCATTTCTGTTCATCTTTCTCCACCCATGCATCATTCCATCTGTGTGTGAAATCCAGTAGCATAATCACTTGAACCAACAAAAACAACCCTGCTCCGAATTTCGACAGAACCCCTGCAAGTATCTTTCAAGTCGTCATCAGAATTCAAACCCACTCAAGACTTGGGACTGCAAATGTAGTGAGTGCAATTCAAGCGCCCATCAAAGTCAAATAGCAATAGACTAACCATAGATGGTCACGACGATATTCGGAACAAAGAACATGAGCACTTCGAGCACAAGCCAGACGACCATCTTGGCCATCCATCCACCGTGATGCACAGCATCACGTTTATCATTCTGGTCCTTGACCCCGATCATTATCAGAGCCAGAATCACAAAAAAGAGGAAATTTCCTAGGCTCACTCGTAGCACCGCTTGCATTTGAAACCATTCCTTCGACTGCCCATCAGACGAGTTAATCCCTGTACATCAAACAAAAAAAAACTTTCAATACTAAACAAAAAACACTCCCAAACCAAGACCCAATTCAGCTAGCTTTACCAATCAATCGCAAATCAACATAGCTCAAGGAAATTTCAGAAGCTGGATAAAGAAACCCTTTCTTTCAATCCAATTGAAGCTCCAATTAGGGACTCAAAACTAGAGAACCGCATTAACGAAATCGCCCAAAAAAAAAAAAAACAACAAAGGCGAAATCCCAGAGTTAAAAGTAGAACGAGGAAGGTGGGAACTGACAGGGGAATTTCTCCAAGAGGGGGCCGCCAACTTCACGGAAAATCCAGGACATGACGAGGGAGAAGCCGAAGAGAGCGCAGTAAGCGATCCGAGCCGATTTCTTGGAGATGCCGGAGGCCACCGACGAGCAGAGACCGCAGGTGAGGGAAGCGCAGCACATGGGGATGCAAGCGAGGCACGACATCTTCTCTTCTCTCTGGATTCTGGAACCCTACTCTTTCCTTCTCCGGAGGCTCTCTGATCTATCAGTCTCTAGAAGGAAGGAAGAAGCAGGTAAGAAAAAATGAGCAAGCAAGTGTAATGGTGAAACGTTTCGGCTGTGTACAACACAGAATGCGTACAAGTAATTACACAAAAAAAAAAAAAAACAGTCAGATGGTAAATAACTATGGTTGGCCCATAAACTATGAGTGACAATCATTTTGACCCCTAAACTATGTTGATTTACTATTGTGGCCCCTGGAATAATTGTTTTCCCTAATTTAGCCCTTAACTGTTAAATCTTTTCCTAATGTAGACCTAATAGTTAGTAGTCCGCTAACTCCCTGTGAATTTGGGGCTCACATGCTGACTTGAATGCTGACTAAGCTATGGCATATGACTGTGTGGCTAAAAATTTATATAGTTGATTAGCTTCTTCGATTGAAAAGTGATCATGAGCTCTGATAGTCTATCGCCGACGATCAATCTCAATCCTTCCGATCGCCCACCGGACCCAATCATAGCCCCACCGGACCCTTTGGCGACATATGGGGAGATCCTGAACAGTGAGGACACTATGGCGGTGGACGCTCCAGCTATCGTAAAGCCTGTGGAAGGAGTTGCGAACAGAGCTCCTCTGTCCTACGCTAGTGCTGTCGCCGGACCAACGATGAGTGCTCCCACGGGGGTGATCTCATGGACAGCGGTAGGCGAAAAAGACCTGGTCCAGGGCCAGTTCAATGACGAACCTGAGCTGATAGTCTCAGCTGATCTCAAAGCTAAACTCAGCAAACCCTGGCAACGATCCCTTGTGGTTCGAACCCTGGGCTACAAATCTCCTTCACTGTTTTCAGCAGCAAGCTACGGGCTCAATGGCGTCCGACAGGTGCGCTGGAGATCCTGTTCCTTGGTCAGGAGTGTTTCCTTGTGAAACTCAGTAATGATGCGGACTATTTTCGGGCGCTCACTGAAGGCCCCTGGACTATTTTCGATCATTATCTCCTAGTCCAGCAATGGACCCCGGAGTTTCGACTCTCCAACAAGCTACCAAGCACCATGACAGTTTGGGTTCAACTGCCGGCGTTCCCGGTTCACTTTTACCACCGGGAAGTTCTTTTCTCAGTGGGGAACATGATCGGACGGACCATTAAACTTGACTATCATACCCTGCATCAACAGAGGGCCAAATTTGCCCGGATCGCTGTAGAAGTCGACTTATCCAAGGCTCTGGTCACTAGGATTCGACTCGACGGGGCATGGCAGTACCTAGAATATGAAAATCTGTCGGTGCTCTGTTTCGAATGCGGCAAAATTGGTCACACAAAAGAGTTCTGTCCCACCCTAAAACCGGAGACTCCTAAGCTCGCAATTGTGGAATTCGGAAAACCGCCGGAGCCGGAGAAAGCTTGCTCGTCGGAGGAAGAGAAGATCGGTTTCGGGCCATGGATGGTAGTTACGCGGAAATCGCGGAAGGGCAACAAAATCCCGGAACTTGGAAAAGGAAGCTCGACCTCTGATCATGTAGATGGCGCAATTCAAGGGAAAGGAGGAAAAGGAAAGATTACCAACAAGGAAATCAGGCTGGGCACGGATCAAGCAACAGGAAACAAAAAGCAAGGTTCCCAACGAGCAGATACCACCAACGGCTATGGAAAATTGGGGAAAAACAATATAATGGCGGCGAAACAGAAAGGAAAGGCCAAAGCCGAAGACCTATCGGGGATGGAATCGGGCGAAGGGCTACTTGGGCCGGCCCCCCCACTCATGCGGCCCAAGTCTTCTAAGCCCAGGGGAAAGGTAACCCAAGAACACCTGCAGATGGAAGGCCCTTCAAGCTCAACAACTAAGACCAGCCCAAGCACAGGCCTGAAAGAAGGAAGTCAGCCTGCAACGCAGGCGATCCCTGATTCCCCATCTCTGACTTTGGTCCCCAACTCTGGTGGAATATCCATCCAGGTTGTTAATTTATCTCCCTCCGCCCTTGATACTGGCAAACAGATGGAGGCGACGACCCCGTCAGCTTCCGCGCGCACTAAGAACCAGAAGAAGCACCGGAAGAAACTTCAATCCCCAAGTAATTCCCCTCGTCCATTTGCAGCGAAGGCCCTTCAGATTTGGACACCAGTGAAGGACAAGAAGCACAAAGCCCGAACCAAGCTAGCCGCCCTCACGCTTCAAGAGATCGAGGCATGGACGGGGACTACCAAGCGCACGGAGGAAACGACAATCTCTGTAGAACAAAACAGCGGTGATGGGATGACGGCCACTGATGAGAGCCCAAAACCAATTGACTCATGAGAAATCCCCTCTCTCGACCCTTGGCTTTCTTCTCGTCCCTTTCTTCTCCTTTTACATTTTTATCATGTCTTTTGCCCAGTTACTAAATATTAAAATTTTGGCTTGGAACATTGGTGGCGCCGGGAACCCGGCTTCTGCCAGGGCTCTCAAGCTCATTGTCAAGAGCTGCAAACCTGATTTTCTTTGTATTTTGGAACCTCAGGTCAGCGGGGATTCGGCCAACAATTTATGAGCGGCTAGGCTTCCCTAATGTCATGAGGGTGGAAGCGGAGGGGAGGAAAGGAGGCGTCTGGCTCTGCTGGAATGCTGCCATTTTCCAGCTTCAAGTCATGTCGGCCTGCTCCCAACACCTGTCTGTCATTGTCTCGTCCGGGTCTTCTCCCAAGTGGCTGTGCACCGTTGTTTATGCGAGCCCCCGCCAGCACCAACAGCACACTCTGTGGCAAAATCTCATCCGCACAAGCCTCTCAAATGACCTGCCGTGGTTGCTCTCTGGCGATTTCAACGCTATTTTAGCTCCGGAAGAGAAGTCGGGCCCTTCCTCTCCAACCACGCTGTACAAATGTAAAACTTTCAGCAGCAGGATCAACCAAGCGGAGTTGATCGATCTGGGTTTCTCAGGGCCTCGGTTCACTTGGACCAGAGGAGATAACCCCAACACATTCAAAGCTAGTCGGATTGATCGAAGCTTGTGCAACTCCCTCTGGAACTCGACCTTTCCTGACACCACTGTCACCCACCTGCCTCGCATACATTCAGACCACCACCCCATTCTTACCACAGTTGGAAATAAGGGAGTTAACCCTTCAATCTCTCGCCCTTTTCGATTTGAAGCTGCGTGGCTAACTAGTGACTCTTTTGATCAGCTGATTGCAGGTGATTGGGATCACCAAGTGCCTCTTCTCGTGGCCTTGGAGAAGCTGGCGACCAGCCTCAATCAGTGGAATAAATCTTCTTTCGGCAACATCTTCTATAGGAAACGCCGGCTTATGGCTCGCATCCAAGGAATCCAAGAGAGGGTTGCCAATTGTTTCTCCCCAGGTCTCTATAAGCTGCAGATCAAGCTTGAAAAAGAGCTAGACCAGGTGCTAGAGCAGGAGGAGCTCTACTGGTTTCAGCGTTCGAGGGAAAACTGGGTGCAGCACGGAGAGCGGAACACTAGCTACTTCCATAATCAAGCAATCATTCGCAGACGCAGAAACAAAATTGATAGTCTCAAAGGGGCCAATGGGGAGTGGATCACTGATCCCCATGAGTTGGCCATGCTGGTTTTTGACCTTTTTGCTGCTTTGTACCAGCAGGAGAATGATATTTACCAGGATCTTATGCCAAAGATGGCTTTTCCCCGTCTCGATCAGGAGGAGTTGGTGGCTTTGCTGAGACCTTTTCGAGCAGAAGACATACACCGAGCAATCCATGAGATGAAGCCATTTCAAGCCCCCGGCCCCGATGGTTTCCATGCTGCTTTCTACCAACGGGCATGGAGGGTGGTGGGCAAATCTTTAATTAATTTGGCTTTGGAATTTTTCCATGCAGGGGGCTTGTCGGAGAACATAACCGATTCAACGGTTGTCCTCATTCCTAAAGTAGAGCACCCAGAGATGGCCTTCCAGCTCAGACCCATCTCCCTCAACAATGTCTGCCTGAAAGCAATCACCAAGGCGATCACCAACCGTCTGAAGCCCATAATGTGGAAGTTGGTTTCCCAAAGGCAGAGCAGTTTCATTCCGGGATGGCAAACCACAGATAACATCATTGTTCTCCAGGAGGTCCTTCACTCCCTGAAGAAGAAAAAGGGGAAGAAGGGAGGGATGGTCTTGAAGATTGATCTTGAGAAGGCTTACGACCGGCTGCGATGGGACTTTCTCCGTGACTCCCTCAAAGAAATTGGTCTCCCTAGCTCGTGGATCAGCTGCTCTATGTACTGTGTGGAGAATAACAGGATGCGTCTGCTCTTTAACGGGGACCTCTCTCAACCCATTATTCCTACCAGAGGAGTTCGTCAGGGAGATCCCTTATCCCCTTACCTGTTTGTACTTTTTATGGAACGGTTGTCTCACAGGATTGATCAGGCTATCTACGACAAACTTTGGAAGCCGCTTAAGTTGTCCAAGGATGGCCCGTCCATTTCTCACCTCTTTTTTGCCGATGACCTGATTTTGTTTGCAGAAGCAGGGGGAGCCCAACGGGTGAATTATCACAAGTCTGCTATCTTTGTGTCCGCAAACATCCACAGAAGACGAGCTAGGGCCCTAAATGAGAGCATGGAGATACCGCTCACGGTGGATCTAGGCAGATATTTGGGAGTCATGGCCATCCATGGCAGAGTGACTCGAGGCAGATACCAGGATCTGGCCCTCAAGATCCAGAGAAAACTCGCGCCTTGGAAAGCTAAGCACCTTTCCCTTGCCTCTCGCATCACCCTTCTTAAGTCGATTGCTGCGTCTATTCCCGTGTATCCTATGCAGGTAGAGCTTATGCCAAAAGCAGTCTGCAAGGACCTGGATAAAATCAATCGCAGCTTCATCTGGGGAGATTCGGAAGAGAAAAGGAAACTACATCTCGTGGGTTGGCAACTTCTGACTCTACCAAAGGACCAAGGAGGATTGGGTATCCGCCCCTCCAGAACGGTAAACATGGCAATGTTAGCCAAATGTGGTTGGCGGCTGATGAAAGAGAAAGAGACATTATGGACTCAACTGATGCGCGCCAAGTACGGAAGGAACAGGGAACACCTCGACATCATCAAACCAATAAAGGGAAGTTCCTTCACCTGAAATAGCATCTCTAAAACCGGAGAATTGCTAAAAAACGGGTGTGCCTGGAACATTCATAGTGGCAACCTAACCCATTTTTGGTATGATGTTTGGATCTCACAGGTTCCTTTGATGGAGTTGACAACTGGCCCAATCCCGGAGGATGAAAAGGACGACATGGTGGCAGATTTCGTGGATGAAGAGGGGACCTGGCTTACTGAGAAGTTCGAGGGAATTCTGTCGGACACTGTGACTCAACAAATTACAACTCTGGCGGTGGACCCTCTAGCAGGAGGAGATGATGTGCTTCTATGGCAGCCCACATCAGACGGTTCTTTCTCAACAAAAATTGATTTTCAGCTGATACAACCGAGTGCCCCCAGCGAGACAAGCCAGATGTGGAAAGATATATGGAAGCTCCCTGTGCTGGAAAGGGTGCGGTGCTTCATATGGGTTGTGGCACACGACAAAATCAGCAGTAACGTGCAGCTAGTGAAGAGGAAAATTGCGTCCTCACCCTGCTGCTACAGATGCTTTTCACAGGAGGAGACCACGCTCCATATTCTCAGAGACTGCCCTACAGCCGCCTTCCTCTGGGCTCGCACTGTCCCTCCCGAGAACCAGCAGGAGTTCTTCAGCCTTCAACTTAAAACTTGGCTCGCCAAGAACTTGCAGGTAGAGGCCAGGGGGAATATTGAGACCCCATGGAATGCTTTCTTCAGTATGGCCATTTGGAATCTCTGGAAAAACAGGAATGAAGGGGTGTTCAGGGGCATTGAGAAAATTCTCTCACCGGCCTCCCTTACCCAAGCCACCAAGATCAAAGTTATGTTGTGGCACAAAGCTTGGGTAGCGCCTAAGAACCTCATTGGGCAGCAGATAGCTCCTACTCAGCGAGTACCCCGAGAAATTAGCTGGATTCCTCCCCCAGTTGGATGGGTCAAGGTTAACGTTGACGGTGCTGCGAATGGAAATCAGGGGCTGGCAGGCGCGGGAGGGGTCTTGCGGAATCACCATGGGGTTTGGATCAAAGGCTTTGTTGCTAAACTGGGCACTTGTTCAGCTATTCAAGCGGAACTTTGGGGGATCTATCATGGCCTGGATACGGCTTGGAACGAGGGCAGCAGGACTATCATAGTGGAATCAGACTCTCAGATGGCTATTCAACTCATAGAGAAGAGAACCGACCCAGTGCATCCCCACGCGACCCTATTGACTGCAATCAGACGTAAGATAGCTCGAGATTGGGTGGTGAGGATAGTCCATACTTACCGTGAAGGGAATAGAGTTGCGGACTGGCTCTCGAAGCACAGTCTCGTCTATCCCTATGGTAAGTATAAACTTGATTCACCACCGAACGGACTTCATCATATCATGGCTGACGATGGTAGAGGGCAATCTTTCCTCAGAGAGGTTGTTGATACCTCTGATACCTCCCCTATTCTGTAACTTCTCCCCTGCCCTTTTGTGTCTGCTTCTGTGGCTTCTATGCCTCCCTTGATGCAAAAAAATAAATAAATTTATATAGTTCTGAAATAATGGAGCGTATAGAGTGCTCACATCGGTTAGTAATATTAGCATCATGTTAACATAATCATTCGGAACATTATGAAAAATAATATACGTAGTATTTATTCCTCTTTCAACTTTCCATTTTTTATAAGGATGATAAATGTTTGTTATTGATAATCAGATTCTACTGACAATATTCGAATTCGGAAGAAATTTTTTATCACTATAACTATATCGCTCATACTCAGATTATTTTATCACCAAAACGAAAGTTAATTTACACACGAAGTTCACTATAACCAACACATATAGTTATAAAAATGAACTAGCTAGAGTGGGATTATAATTTCAAGGAATCATTTTTATTTGGTTCATGTAAGAACTGGTTCCAATGTGCATTGATTCTTACATAATATCACATGCAAGGAAGTTCATGAATCAATTTTCACAGAGGCAGTACGTATAACTACGAAATATACATATCAACGATTAATCTCTAAAAAGCGAAATTCGAGAAGGGATATAGGTTATGGCTTGAAGCAGGTTTCGTCCTTGGATTTCAAAACCCTTGTATTCTTGCGTTTCAAGATCAAAGACAAGGATGCTTGCGTGACCATCTCCATGCTCCTTTTCGAAAAACGATGCCAAACTCCCTGCTGATCCGATGCATTTCAAAGTGCGCATTGGACCCGCAGGTGGTGTAATGACAAATAACTTGATCCAAGATTCCGG